CTTGCTGTAGAGAGACAGAGAGGATAGAACTCCCCATGGGGAATGGTTGATACACTGCCATCCCTTCTCTCTCTCTCCTTGCTTTTGAGATTTTGTGCACACAGGCCCATGTACTCAGCATTTCCCAAGCCTCTGGGTCTGGAATGTGAACCATGTGGTCAGTTGTGTAGGATCTGACTGGTTTAACCACAGGACCAATTATCAGAGGGTACACACAACTTATCAGAGAGTAAGAGAAAGTAACCCCCAAATGGGGCATGCTTATCCTGCAATCTGTCTTCCTGTCAAGATTTTGGGCACACGTGTACCTGGTATGTCTTTCAAACTGCTAGAATTGGGATTCAAATCACAGTCAGCTACGTGGTACCAACTCCCTTAACCACTACGTGGTTAGCCTTTTTAAAAAAAATTCATTTCTTAAATGAGAGAGGGAGGCTCACAGCCCCAAGGTCTTTGTGCCAATGATCACCTCAGCCTCGGCCAGCCTAGAGCATGGGCATGTTTGTACACACGTGAGGGAGGGAGACCTTGGGATAGGAACCTGGGACTTACTTGTGTGGGTCTGGTTAACATCACCATTATGCCACTCTCTGGCTCCCATTTTGTTTTTATTAGATAACAAATGTCACATGGTCTAACATTAAGAAAAATAGATAAGGAGTTAACATTTTTGAAGAGGTTAAAAATATATCTGAAGAGGAAACTATGACCATGCTTTTTAAGATAACCACTCTGGATTTTTCTTTTTTTTTTTTAAGTTGCTATAGGGTACATACACTTGATGGAGGGAGGAAGAGAGGTAGAGAGAGAGAGACAGAGAAAGTGAGAAATCACCACTTCGGGGGATGGCCACACTGCAGTCCCTTCTCTTCCATTCTTTCAGGATTCTGGGCAGGCATACACATCTGTCTGGTGTTTTTCAAGCCACTGGGTCTGGGATTTGTTTTTTTTTTTTTTTTCTTTTCTTTTTTTTTTTTTTTTTTTTGTTTTTTTTGAGAGATTTTTCACTGTAGGGCGCGTGCGCTTGCCAGACAGACAGAGAGAGACATAGAGATAGAAAGCGAGAACTCACCCCCAGGGGGGATGGTCACGCCGCAATCCCTTCTCCTCCATTCTCCTCTCGAGATCTTGGGCACGCACACACACGCGCCCGGCGTGAGTTCTAAGCCACCTGGTCCAGGACGTGAACTGCAGTCGACTACGTGGGAGTCCAGTGACATAGCCATTACGCTAACCGCTGGTTCCCATGGGTCTGGGATTTGAATTGCAGTCAGCTGTGTGAGATCCAGCCACCTTAAGCTCTATGCCACTTGCTGGCCTCACTCTGAATTTTTACACTGTCCCAAGCCAGCACAGGAAACAGTTTAATCCAAGTAGTGAAATAAGTGTCTTTTGTTGCATACCTACTAATTAGTCTTTCTGGGTTGGCTGTAAATAGCATCATTTCTAGAAGATGATAAGAAACCCCCACTAAAAAAGGAACAAAATCCTAATTTGTGACTTATTTTAGGCACTTGAAGCAGGGCAAAGCCGAAACAACCCACCTCTCAAGAGGCCTGTACGGACCCAGGCTGTGGTGGACCAGTCTGACGTGTACACCCATGTGCTGTCCGTGTTCACAGAGAAGAAGGTGGGCACAACCCTTGACCCTCTCCTGGGCTGAGAGAACTCAGAACCAGGGTGCTGAGGACAGTCAGAACTACTGTGATTAGAATAATGAGCTATTTGGTGAGGATCTAGCTCTGATGGTTTGGCCTATGTTACTCTGGCCTGGAACATGGTAATCGACAGGTGGTTCTGGAGGGATTTGTGCAAAACCAGTGAAGTCAAACACTGAGGCATCTTGGGGAGTGGATAAACAAGGGGCTACAGGCCATTCCTTCTACAGTGCTCGGGTATTACAAAACCACTTTTTCTCTCTGTAGGAGATGCCTCATAAATTTGTGATAGCCGTGCTGATGGAGTATATTCGCTCTCTCAACCAGTTTCAGATCACAGTACAGGTACTTTCAAGTCAGCATTTGCTGTCCCAAGTTAGAGGAACAGGGATTTAAAAAAAACAAACAAACAAACCTAGGGCTGGCAGGTAGCATGGTGACTGAGTGCTGGACTTCTACATGGCCAACCATGGTTCAAGTCCTTTTTCACTTAACCTTTCTCTGTCTCAGTTGGTCAAATTAAAATTAATTAATTAATATTATTTTTTAAAAGCACTCTTAGTACCTTAACTTAGAAGATGACTTTTTTTTTTTTTAAGCTAAAGGTTTCTACATACCTTACTTCAATTTAGAGTGGCTTTCCTAATATTCCTACATTATTTTATTTTTAAAAAAAATTTTGAGAGAGATTTTTGCTATAGGGCACATGCACTCGCCAGAGACAGAAAATGAGAAATTAAGATTTTTTTTGCCACAGGGCACGTGTGCTTGCTGGAGAGATAGGAAAAGTAAGAAATCACCCCCTGTGGGAGATGGTCACATTGCAATCCCTTCTCTTTTATTCTCCTCAGCTGGATCTTGGGCCCACATGCACATGCGCTGGGTATGAACCAGGACTCAAACCATGGTCAGCCATGTGGGAGTCCAGTGACATAAACACTATGCCATC